GGGGTGGGGAGGGAGGATGGGAGGAAGATCAAACTAATTGCATGTAAGCCAAACAAAAGGAAAGTTAACATATCATATAAGATATGGATCAAATCATAAGAATCAGATTTAATTTGTTTAACTTAGAAATGTATATAACTTCAAGATAAGTAGGAGGTTAGACTATGGGGAAAAATAGGTGTAAATTATGAGATTCAGCATATGAATGAATTATGATTGTCCAGACGCCACGAAGGGCAGGCCAAGTGTTCGCTTTATGATTGTGTATGCATTGGTCTGCACTTCATAACATTCTCCGGTAAACTAAAAAATAAATAAATAAAGGGGAAAAAAAGAAAAGAAAGGGCTCATAAGCTTGAAGGAAAAAACCAAGGGGTTGGTGTGGTTAATAGTGATGTATATGTACTGATATAAATATTAACAACAGATTGTTACAGAATCAAATCTTTTTAATTTCTCTCAGTTGTAGCAAGAGGCACACATTTCCCCTTTAAGATGATATAGAAAAGCTTGTATACATTCTCAGATACATGCGTTTGTGCCTGAACTCCATAATAATGCATTTAAGGGGCTAGAGGGGCTGGCTAGGTCCTTGGTTAATTGCTTTTATCATATAAATAAGCTATGGAAATACATTACAATTGTGTTATCATTGGCCGCATTTATTTACAGCTTTATTTTAATTAAGGCTGCTGTACTTATCAAGGCAATAAACTAACTGTGGCTGGCGTTTATGAATAATAATGTGCTATGAAAATAAGATTAAAGAAGATGGTGATAGCAGAAACAATTTTCTCATTAGAGTTTTCAAAACATCAGCATTAAAAAAAAATCATATCGCCGGCCACTTTACTTCATCCCCGTACCATTCCTAGCCCCTATCTCTAATCCTAACTCTATAAGCAATCACAAGAGTTGGCAGCAGCCACACTGTTTTCGATTCACAACAGACAGAGACGGTACAAATAACAATACACCACTGAGAATCACAGTAGTACTTGGATCAGAGTACTCCATCCTCAGAATTTTAAGTGTTGCCGCTGATACAATTTATAAAAATGGAAAGTGCTTCATCTGAAGAGCCAGTGTGGAACGTTTCTCTTCCATGGGCAGCAAAACAAGAGCAAACCACACAAAAACTAAACGAAGAACTTTAGGACAAGAATAGTAATCAGAGCAAAGATGTATAATGACTGGAATATTCTGATTTGAGCTTGTATTGCTGTAGGCTATAGCCAAAAAAGGCTGCTAAGTGTAGCTCAGTTTTATTTAAGTTTTTTTTTGTGTGTGTGTGTTGGCAATGCTACCATTCCGCTCCCCCCCCCCAGCCCCCCAATCTCTCTTCAAGTATTACATCTAAGCCAACTAACAATTTTGTGGAGATAGGGGACTGTAGACTTATTTTTTCTTCCAGCAGGCAAATAGAGGTTTAACTTGCAGTAATTAGGTGAGAACTAGCCAAGCATCTTACTATTATGATGCTTGTTAAAAACGCTTCTTTTCTGCATCTGAATTTGAGTGTGTTCCCCTCCTCTCTTAATCTTCTTATGGAAATGAAGGCCAACGGCAGGGAACCTGCAGCGTCTCGGAGAATGTCCTTGTTAAGTGGGATTCCTCAGCATTGCTAATTAGCAGAGTTTGACGACCACCAGTATTGGGGAAGCTCTGTTTAACCACTCACCAACCATGCGAGGAAGAGCAGACTAATTTTATTTTGTAATTAAAATCTGAAAAGGGCCCTATTTGACAGTTAGGGCTATGAGAGTTTTATCTCCCCGTGAAATAATTACTGCCTTGATAACTCAATTTTCTGAAAAATGTCAACTGTGGGCTCCAAAAGTTTTAATTTCATTACGTAAGAAACAAGAGAGAGAAATAGAAGAAAATGTACAGAAAGGCTTTCTAATTCTGGAACTACTTAAATATATCAGGAGCCAGGTTTGGCCAAAGGAAGGGTTTTGTGGGATTTTTTTTTCGCTCCTCTCCTTTTTTTTTCTGGTCAAGTTTCCTCCAGATCCTAACCTTCCAA